GGGAACTGAACTCAGGACCTTGAGTTTACCAGTCAGGTGGTGGCACCACTGAGCTAAATCCCAGCCCATTTGTCTATATTTTTTTTGTTTTTTGAGACAGGGTCTCACTATGTTGTTGAGACTGACCTGGAACTCACTATGTAGCCCAGCCTGGTCTCAAACTCACAGTGATCCTCCTGCCTCAGCCTCCATTACAGGCATGAGCCACCACACATGGCTTGTCTATATTTTTTTAAGATAGGAGCTTATTAAATTGCCCGGCCTGGCCTTCAGCTTGTGATCCCCCTGCCTTCTCCTCCAGGTACCTGGGATACACCCAGCCCCATGGATCTTTCTGGTTAACTGTCCGCACTCCAAATGACCATATCCAGGCTTCCCACCCAGTATCCCTCAGCTATCAGCAAATAATTTCCCTGTTCCAGAAAATCAGTCAATATAAGGAAATTTCCTCAATCTTCTACTACAAGAGTTTTGTACATTATGCAGCTGTCCTTACGTTTTTCTCCTACTCCTTTAGATGTATCCCAATGATCTGACTTTCTCCACCAGTCCACAAAAATTCCCTCTTCTGGCTTTTAAAGGCTCCAATTCATTGTCCCCCTCATATTTTCAACCTTGTCCACCCCATTAACTCTTCAACAATATTTTAACATTTTCATATCTGATGACTAAAATTATACTGTCCCTCTATTCACCTTCTGTCTTCATATGTATTTTACTTTTTTGGTACCTGGGATCGAACTCAGGTCCTTGGGCTTGCAAGGCAGGCGGCAGCACCACTGAGCTAAATTCCCGGCTCCTACCCTCATATTTTCTGATGGCCAGAAGTCTTGTAAGAGTTGTTTCTATGCACTGAGTCCTCCTCCTCAAAGTCTGCAACCTGACTTCTGCCCCATCGCTCCCTTGAAATAGCTCCCACCAAGGACAGTGATGACTTACACATCCAAAAAACCCACATTTTGGTCATATTTGACTGCTGAACTGTATTTAACACTGGACATTCCCTTCTTTGAGTCACTTTTCCAGTGAGTGAAAAGACACACACCACTTACTGGTCTTCCTTTTCTCTGACCATTTCTTAGCAAGTTGACAGATTCCTTTATTCACTTTTTTTTTTTTTTTTTTTTTTTTGGTTTTTTTGAGACAGGGTCTCACTATGTAGTTGAAACTGATCTGGAACTCACTATGTAACCCAGGCTGGTCTCGAACTCACAGCAATCCTCCTGCCTCAGCCTCTCAAATGCTGGGATTACAGGTGTGTGCCACTACGCCAGGCCTTTTCACCTCTTAAATGTAACTTCTCCATGGCTCTGTGCCAGACCCTTTCTTCCTTTCTTTGGTACAGGCAATTTTGTTAACTCCATGCCTTTGTCTGTTGTCAACTCCAAGACTGGATGTTGAACTGCAGGGTGGCAGAAATCACGTGGTAATACAAGCAGTAATGGAAACCATCATCATTTCATACAATTACCAAACACTATCACTCCACAAACCTGGACCGTCCTTTTGATTCTTCCTCCAAGTTAATAGTTGCATGTCGCTCAAGCCAGAAACCTGGGGGTCATTATGAATCTTCCTCTTCCTGAAGTCAATAGTCATGAAGTAACTGTGTAGCAATTGTCCATTGCTGTGTTTTGAGTCAGCCCAAAACCGTGACTTAAGATGAAAGCCTTTGTCATGATTCTGATGATTGAGTGATTCTGCTGGTCTCCCTCAGGCTCATTTATGCAGGTGCCTTCCCCTAGCTGGTGTCTGGACTTAGCGTGGTAAGCCAAACCCTTCCGTGTCTTCTCTTAACTTCATGTCCTGGATGGTGATCTCTTGATTCCAAGAGGAGAGAGCTGGGATCGCCAAGTTCGAGCCTACCCTGTTCAACTAGCGAGACCCAGTCTCATCATTTTTATTTATTTATTTATTTTTGGTACCGGGGATCGAACTCGGGTCCTGGCACTTGCAAGGTAGGCAACGGAACCACTGAGCTACATCCCCGGCCCTCCTGTCTCATCATTTTTTTAAAAGGCATGGGGATGTAGCTCAGGGCTCAGGGCGATAGTCCTGGGTTCAATCCCTATTACTGGAAAACAAACTGAGTTTGCTCTCTATGGGAAGGGGTGCGGCCCAGGACAGGCGGGTCGCAGAAACGTGACGTCAGCCGCCGGGAAGGAACTGACGTCACCCGCGCCTGTGGCGCTTCCGGTCTACGTGAGCGGAATTTCGCGCCGACTGGAGGCTGAGGGCCGGCGTCCAAGGGCTGAGAGTTGCAGGTTTTCTGAACTTGCTCTTTCTTCTCCTGGACCATGGCCACAGACTCTTGGGCCCTGGCGGTGGACGAGCAGGAGGCAGCTGTCAAATCGGTGAGTGGCTTCCGGTGGGAAGAATGTAGTTGGCTGGCCCGAGCGGACCTGTCTCAAGCACAGAGCTTTCCGAGTTGGGCAGGCCTGCGGCTCTCAGGTTCCTACATTTAGTCCTGGTTTGATCCTGGGGCCAAAGAAGCCAGTATCTAGCTTCTTATCTTCACCCGGGATAAAGAACTGCTCCTGTGATAAATCTGTCCGCACTTCTCTAGTGCAACTCTTTCTCGTGACGATTCAAAGGGAAGGCATTTTTAGATGCTATTCTTTTTTGTTGTTTTTTGAGCGTTCTTGGTCTTTTATTATATTTGACAATTCTCAGATCCATGCTTAACGTGGCTGGATTTGTAGCTCTTTGTAGAATAACAGTCAGGTTTACCCTTGCTTTTTTTTTAAAGACTAGAGTCTTGCTGTGTAACCTAGGCTGACCTCGAACTCACAGTCCTACCCCAGCCTCCCAAGCGCTGGGGTTAAGACCATACCCTGCTTAGATTTAGATTTAATGTTTAAGTCAACTGCAGATGTTGGAGAGAGACACGAATTGTTTCATTGATGTTTAAAGTGACATTTCAGATATTAATTTGGGAGGTGGGTGGGTACCGGCCGGGGATTGAACTTGGGTCCTTGTGCTTGCGAGGCAGGCGGCGACACCACTGAGCTAAATCCCCAGCCCCCTATATTGCCTCTTTTATTACTGAAGATCCTTTCAACTGAAAGGTGTGATGTAAATTGTTGGTTTATTTCTGAGACTAGGTTTGTTGGGTGATAATAGATTTTTGGTTTTAAGAATTTAAACCCAGGGACTGTGGATTTAGCTTAGCAGTGCTGTGCCTGCCGGGCAAGTACAAGGCAGGGTCCTGAGTTCGATGTCCAGTATCCCCCCATCCCCAGTATAAACCCTGTACTTGGGAGGCTGACGTAGGGGGATGCGTAGCCAGGAATTTGAGGCCAGTCTGGAATACATAGCACGACCCTATCTCAGAAAACACAAAAACCAAAGGAATGTAGGGTTTTGTTTGTTTTATGGTCAGCTGGAGCCTTACATAATTTAAGCTTGAATTACATTTGTTCTCCAGCCATGGCCTTTTTGTTTGTTTGTTTGTTTGTAGTACCAGGGATTGAACTCAGGACCTTGCACTTGCAAGACAGGCACGGTGCCACTGAGCTAAATCCCCGGGCCTGTGGTTCTTTTTTTGAGACAGGCTCTCGGTATGTGGTTTAGGCTGGCCTTGGATTCAAAATGATATCTCCCCTCTTTTTTTGTGTTGTGTGTGGGTTTTTTTGTTTGTTTGTTTTTTGGGGTTTTGGCAATTCTGGGGATTGAACTCAGAACCTTGTGCTTGGGAGGCAGGCGTGGTGCCGCTGAGTTGAATCCCCAGCCCAACCCCTCTTTTTAAGTGTGTAGCGTTTTGTACAATCACTCTGTCACCGTGTCAAGGACACTGCCTTTCTGCTTTTGGGAGAGGCAGGATTAATTATCAGCAGGCTCTTTGCTGAGCATGAATCCAGAATCGTGGACAATAAAGGATTAATTGGCTGTCCCCCCCCCGCCCCAGTTCTGGGGATTAAGCTCAGGAAGCACTAAGCTACATCCCTAGCCTGTTTTAGTTTTTTATTTTATTTTATTTTTTTTTTGGTATCAGGAATTGAACTCAGGACCTTGCACTTGCAAGGCAGGTTTGGCACCACTGAGCTTAATTCTCAGCCTATTTTTTTTATTTTGAGAAAGGGTCTTTGCTCAGTTTCCCAGCCTAAATTTGAATTTGGTACCCTCCTGCCTCAGCTTCCTGAGCCACTGGGATTACAAGTGGGTGCCACAACTGGGGATCAGTCAGGTTTTCTGGAGATTACTAATCAGTGTGGTCCACTTAGGGGATTCCAAGTGTTCTCAATCACATTTTCAGATGATCTAAATTGTTATTATTTTGATCCCATTGTTTTTTTGGTGTTTGTTTGTTTGTTTGTTTTTTGGTTTTTTGAGACAGGGTCTCACTGTGTAGTGAGACTGACCTGGAACTCACTATGTAGTTCAGGCTGGTCTCCAACTCACAGCGATCCTCCTGCCTTCAGCCTCCCAAGTGCTGGGATTACAGGCATGCGCCACCACATCCAGCCTTGATCCCATTGTATACATTCTGAAAATGCAGAGTAACCAGCTGGTTGATAAGACGTGGTAAGATTCCTTCCAAGATCTGTGTCAGCCTTCCCATTGGCCATCAGAAAGATGGCCAAATGAGAAGTTTGTGGCTCTACTTTTTCTCTGGAAAATCTGGTTTCTGCAGAGCTCAGATGAATACTTCTACTGTGGGACTGCCTTTTCCCAAAGGCCCACAGTAGGGTCAATTGGGAAAAGGTTGAATTGGAGGGAGCATGATTATTTAAAGAAGTATGTAATAAGCCTCAGGAACCAGTGGTTACCATTATAGTGACTCAGTACTTCAGCTCAGGGGCCTTGGGGGTAGGCTGTGGGCCTCGGAGTTGATTTGGAAATTCTCAGAGCCTAACAACATACCTTTCTCATACCATCTTTATAGTTCACTTCTAATTCTTATGAAAGTAGAGACTTGATTTATTAATTGCTCTACTTGCACTTTCCTTTGCAGCTTACCAAGCAAATTGTATTTGAAATTTTGAAACATTTTCATATCAGGGACTTGGATTTGTCCATTGTTTTTGTAGTAAGTTTGCAGTACTAGAGGTGGAATGCCGGGCCTTCACACTGAGCTACATCTCCAGCCCTCTTTATTTAAGTGAGTCAATTATTTTATTTGTTTGGTTTTTGCATTTTGGGAGAGCATCTCACTGTGTAGTTCTGGCTGGCCTTGAACTCACTCTGTAGCCCAGGTTGGCCTGAAACTCATGGCAATCCTCTTGCCTCAGCCTCTAAAGTGCTGGGAATACAGGCATGTACCATCATGCTTGGCTTTATTGTAAAATTTTGAGACAGAATCCCATTAAGATGCCGGGCTCAAACTTGCAGTCCTCTTGAGTCTGCCTCTCAGAGTGCTGGGGTTACAGAGGATTAAAGATAGTTCTGTATTTTCTGTTACTTTATTTATTTTTTTCTTTTTTATTTAGTTTATTGTTGCCTTTTAAGTATGCATTCATCATTGGGATCTTGTACATGACAGATCTTGGTTCTTATTTTTTTCCCCATACCCCTGCCCTCCCTTTACCCCCTCCACCCTCTCCTATTTAAAAAGACTTTGCTTCCATTTTTTTTTCCTTTTCTCATATGTTGTTACTTTAATTCAGTGTAGGTTTCAGGGTTAAAAATGGAAAGCAGATTTGGAGGTATAACTCGGGGTAGAACATTTACTTGGTATTCTTGAGGCTCAGGTAACGATCCCCAGGGCTGGGGGCAGGGTGGGGAGCTTATTTGAAGTATTTAAGTAGTATCATTCTCAGGAAGGAACTTAAAGGGCTTGAGATTTAAGCTTGGTGGCCCTGAGCCTTGCAAGTGCAAGGTCCTGAGTTTGAACCCTGGTACCAAAAGAAAAAAAACGAAAGAGGGCCAGGAATTTAGCTCAGTGGTTCCGCCACCTGCCTTGCAAGCAAAAGGTCCCAAGTTCGATCCCTGGTACTGAAAGAAAGGAAGGAAGGAAGGAACTTTAAGTGTTTGTACCACTGAAAAGACAGAGTATTTGGTAAAGATTAGATGTTCTAAAAAGAGTGTACTTGGGGGAAAAGTAGAGGTTTAGGACTCTTATACTCTTTCTCCCTACTGTTACATATAGCCCCCGCCTGCCTGCTTAAGGCTACTGACGATTCGTGTAATGTTTTCACTCAGGCTTTTAGCCATTCTGCATCGAGAGGACAGACCAGCTCCCTGACTCGAGTTGTGCAAGTAGTTCTTGCTAGACTTTCAGGGGAGCTTCTCCTTCCCCAGGCCTTCTTTGATTGGGCCTTTGCTCATTCTGTTTCCTTTTACTCCTATTCAGATGAGCAGTTTGCAGATCAAGGAAGAGAAAGTCAAACTGGATACCAATGGTGAGTCATTAGTGCCTACAAGCCAGGTACCAATCACACCTGCTTCTGTTGCCCTCACAGCTGCAGTGAGCAGTGGAGCTTTCCTTTAGAGGCCTGTTTGGCAAACAACAGCACTGAAACTGAGAGCCTGAAATCAGATTTCATGACTGAAGAGGCAGTATGCCCATTTTCCAGATTTTTCTAACCTCTGACTCTTTAACATTAAAAATCACTGTTGTGAGGCCGGGCGTGGTGGCGCACGCCTGTAATCCCAGCACTCGGGAGGCTGAGGCAGGAGGATCACTGAGTTCGAGACCAGCCTGAGCTACATAGTGAGTTCCAGGTCAGTCACTACATAGTGAGACCCTGTCTCAAAAAACAAAAAAAACAAAAAAACAACAACAACAAAAATCACTGTTGTGGGTCGGGGATGTAGCTCAGTGGTGCCTTGCCTGCCTTGCAAGCACAAGATCCTGAGCTCAATCCCCAGTATCAAAAAAAAAAAAAAAAAAAAAAAAAAATCACTGTTGTACCTGTTCAGTTACTGCTATGTCTTAAAATATTTTTAAACTTTTAAAAAATTGAATCTGGGTTCCACATTCAGCAAGTATAAAAAGATGCAAGGTCTCATCTGCAGTCCCACATGGGGGCTGTCTCAGTGAAGACCCACGAAGCTGGGGGTGTGGACAGTAGCAGGCCATCGGCTCAGGGTTTGGAAAGCCAGGCTGTCGCCAAGGTTGGCTGCCTCTGAGGCTGGGAGGAAGACCCTACCCCAGGTCTCTGGATTCCTGCAGTCAGGGGTTGTATGGTCTATAAAAGCATCTCTGCTGTCTCTGCCTGTCTTTACATAGTATCCTCCTGAGTCTAGTTCCCATAGTGCTACCCCTTTCTTGTGATGTTAGGGATTGAACCCAGGGCCTCAAGTACACAAGGTAAGTGGTCTATTACTGAAGTATGGGTCCAGCCGTGTTTTCCTTTATTTGGGAGTGGGGGTTTGAGACAGGATCTCACTATGTAGTTCAGACTGCCCTAGAACTCACTATGTAGCCCAGGCTGGTCTTGAACTCATAGCGATCCTCCTGCCTCAGCCTCCTGAGTGCTGGGATTACAGGCGTGCATCACCACTCCTGGCTTCTTTTTTTTTTAATTTTATTTTTCTTAGTTTTCCCTTTTTATAAGGACCCAGTCCTATTTGTTTTTTGTTTTTTTACTTTAAAATGTCAGCGCTTGCTGGGCATATCTATAATCCCAGCACTTGGGAGGCTGAGGCAAGAGTATCCCCAGGAATTTTAGGAGGCCAGCCTGTACTACATAGCGAGACCCTGTCTCAAAAAAAGAAAACATTTATGTGTTGGTACATGGTGTTTTTCTCACTCTCTCTTTTTTTTGTGGTACTGGGGATTGAACTCCAGTCCTTGTGCTTGCAAGGCAGGCCACTGAACCGCTGAGCTAAATCCCCGGCCCCTCTCACTCTTTTATATAACTACATGGCATTGTATTGTGTGATGCACCATAATTTATTTAACCATTCACCTATTGTTAGATGTTTAGGTTTGTCCCATTCTTTTGCCCTTATAAACAGTTCTTTGTGGAATAGCCATGAACTTAAATTTTTTTATATGTGTACAGTGTTTTTGTGGGATAGATTCCCAAAAAAACATATAGGACAAAGGCATATGCATTTGTAGTTTTTATAAGTATATTCGAAATACTCTCCATCCATATGTGTCTTACCAGTTTATACTTCTAGCAGCACCATATGTAACTTTCCCTGTGGCCTCATCACGAGTATTTAATCAAACTTACTTATTTTTAATCAAATGCTTAGAATTTGACCGACCTGGTAGGTAAAAAATGGTAGGCTGTGTTGTTGACATAAGGCAGTATTTTAACTTAAGTCAAGTGACAGATTTTTCTTACGTACTTAAAAACTTACTAGCAGTAGGGCCAGGGATTTAGCTCAGTGGTTCTGCTGCCTGCTTTGTAGGTGCAAGGTCCCGAGTTGGATCCCTGGTACCCCCCAAAAAAAAAATTGCTAGAAATACAATCCATTAAACATAAAGAAATGCCAGTTTTTATATTTGGGTTACTAAAGCAAATTTTAGTGTTTTTGTTTTAGGTGGGCTTAAAAATTGTCTTTTGAATGACAGCTATTTTCTTCTGTAGGTGTTGTCAAAGCCGGTCCCACCGCAGAGAAGACGGACGAAGAAGACAAAGGTAACTAACTGCTCCCGACGCCGGCCTTGCCTTCCTTCAAGTGGAATACTGAGCTATGATCAGGGGATGAAAGGGCTCCACACAAAGACTGGGGAGGCAGTGTGCTGGTCAAGAGTGCCGTGTCCTGGAGGCCAGAGGAAGTGTGTCTAAAGTAGGGTGTTGGCTAGAGGCAGCAGGATAATTAAGAGAACACCTGGAGCCAGGCACCATTGTGTATTCCTGTAATCTTGGCTACTTGAGAGTCTGAGGCAGGAGGATGGCAATTTTGAGGCCAGCTTGAGCAACAAAACAGGATCCCACCTCAAAGAAAAAAAAATGAACTACAAATTGACCATTAGATCAGTTTGGCGTGTGGAAATCATTGGGGACCTTGGCAGGAGCTAGGGAAGGTGTACATTGAACAGAAAAGGGAAGGAGAGGGAAATCAGATAAATATAAGCCCTTTTAGGGAATGTTCCAGAAAGGAGGGTCATGAAATAGAACAGTGGCTGGGTGGGAATAAGGGTTAAAGGGGGAAGCAGCTTTATAAACAGAGATGGTAAAACAGGTTCAGGTGCTGAGGGAGTGGCCCAGGGGAGGGGACCGGTGATAATGCCAGGAAGCAGTGCAGAGAGAAATGTCCTGTGCACAGGAAGGGGTGGGCCCACATGTGGGCAGATGTGCAGCTGAGGTCCAGGCAGAATGTGGAGAACTTCAGGGTTTGAGAAGAGGGGAAAGTATAATGAAGGTTTCAGGTGAAAATGAATCAGTAGACTATGGAAACAAGAAAACTTGCTGAGTTGATCAGCCCACTTGAGTCTTACAGTCAAGAATGTAAAAGGAGCTGGACTTAGGCACTGCCTAAACCCCTGCCACTCTGAGAGGCTGAGGTATCTAGCAATTTAGCGAGACCCTGTCTGGAAATAAAAATAGAACAGGCTGGGGATATAGCTCAGTGCGGAGGACCTGGGTTCAGTCCTAGTACCAAAAGTTTAAAGGGAAGCTGCCAGTGTGATTGTTTTCTCCAGCCATGCATGGCTGCCAGGGTACTGGGGCTGAGAGTGAGATAGAGCACTTTTACAAGTTGGGGTTTGATTTTATGTAGCTACAAAATCTACTGGTTTCTTGGACAGAGGACAGAGCTGCCCAGTCTTTACTCAACAAGCTGATCAGAAGCAACCTTGTGGATAACACAAACCAAGTGGAAGTCCTGCAGCGGGACCCCAGCTCCCCTCTCTACTCGGTGAAGTCTTTTGAAGAGCTCCGCCTGTGAGTATTCATTGCTCTGACCAGCCCTTCCTTTCTAGTCCCTCCCCTATAAAATTCAGCATCTCAGACATTCTGGTAGGACTTTCACTTCTTACTTTTTAAATGATTTATTTATTTTAAAGGTAGTGATGTTTTATGTTTATTAAGGTAGGGAAAGAAGTACGCACTACAGGGCGAGAGCAACCACCGAAAGCACTTACATTGGCCTAAAAGGTTTAGTGTACTTACTCTGAGTAAGTCATAACTTACCTGATCTGGTAAGTTAGTGTAGCTCAGTGGTAGAAGGCCTGCCTCCATCTCCAGCAACACACACGCACACACACACACGCACGCACGCGTACACACACATGAAGAGTGCAGAATGGGAATAATCTCACAGTGATGGTCTTCTGCTTCTTGGCAACCTAGTTTTCCTCCTCTTTTTTTTTTTGTTTTTGAGACAGGCTCTCACTATATAGTTCATACTGGCCTTGAACTCACAGCAGTCTTCCTTCCTCAGCCAGCTAAGAGCTGGGATTACAGATGTGTGCCACCACACCTAGCTTCTTGATAGAGATTTTTAAGGGCCACAGATTTATTAATCATAGCTGAAAGTCTTTTATCTTTTATGCTCTTAGAACTTTGAATAAAATATTGGCTGGCAGGTGATTTCTGGATTTCAGGAACATTGCTTATTAGGTAATCCCTTTTGTTAGATCTAGGGCAGTGGTGGTGAACCTACGGCACGCATGCCGCAGTGGGCTGTTTGTTGTCATTAAAAGCTTTAAAAGGGCTGGAGATTTAGTTCAGTTTCACCACGCCTCCCTCACAAGCGCAAGGTCCTGAGTTCAATCCCTGGTACCAAAGCAAAAGGGGGAAAAAGAAAAGCTCTAAAAGTTTTGCCATCACTACTCTAGGTTTACATGTTTATTCTGTTTTGTTTTTGTTTTTTGAGACAGAGTCTCACTATGTAGTTCAGACCGGTCTTGAACTAACCATGTTGCCCAGGCCGGCCTCAAACTCTGATCCTCTTGCCTCAGCATCCCAAATGCTGAGATTAAAAGGTGTGTGCCACCAAACCCAGCTAATAGGGTTTACACTCATAAGAAGAGTTTACCTACTTTTAGAAAGTCTATTAAAAGAGTCTATGTTCCTGTTACCAAGAGTGGAAAGCAGCTTTTGACAGTTCTAATTTGAAAAAATAACCAGAACCCAGAAGTAAGCCTCACCATGGGCATACCTGTGGCATTCTGCTGGAAATGACTTTTAATATGATTATTTTAAAAGGCAGAGAATTAGGAGGGTCTGTACCATGTGGTTTGTTCTCTTCAGTAAGTTATAAAGTGATATTTCTGGGTGGTTGGGTTAGTGTGTGTGCCACTGCACTGGCTGTCCAGTGCTGTTCCAGAGGAGCACAACACATACCTATCATTCTTGCTGCCTGCCAGGATCCACATTAAATTTTTTTTAAAAAGTTTTCTCACACACAAAAAGGTCTAGGAAAAGCTTAGAGAACAGAACTGTTGATTTTTTTTTTCAGACTTAAAGTTGACTTTTCTTCTTTTTTTTCGAGACAGGGTCTCTCTATGTAGCTCAGGCTGGCCTCAAACTTGAGGCAGTGATCCTCCTGCCTCGGCTTCCCAAATACTGAGATTATAAGGATATGCCACCAGCCTAGCAGTTTGGCTTTTCCTTAGAACAATATGCTGTGGTTTTTTTTGTTAAATACCTTGTCCATTTAGCAGTAGCAGAGAGAACACTGTAAATGCAGAGTAAAAGGAGTTCAGTTGATACTTACTGTGTAGCTACTGTTCTGGGCTGGGGCTGTAGGTCAGTAGGAGAGCCCTTGGCTGACATGCACAGGGCCCTTCACTCTGTCCCCGGCACTGCAGAAGACGTACACCTCGAAGTCCCACTTCCTAATTTGTTTTGTGCTATGAATTAATAAAAACTACTCTTGCTGTATCCAGGGGACACTTGGCATCAAACATCGACCAGATTCGTGGGATTTGGAGCATGAAATGGGAAGGAAAACTGGCTGTACTTTGTGAAGTGTAGTCACCGCAGATTCAGATCAGCAGGAATGCGTCAGTTGTGCACACACCTGTGATTCCAGCACAGGTCCTCGGCACTCAGGGCTGAGGCGCAGGGGTCAGGACTTCAAGGCCAGCCTTAACTTCATAGTGAGACCTTTTCTTACAAAACCAAAAACCAAAAAAGGTGATTTGGGTTGGTTTGTTTATTTTTTGTGGTACTGGGGCTTAAACCTGAGGCATTCACATTGAGCTTTATCCCTCGACCCTTTTTTGCTTTGAGACATAGTCTTGCTATATCAATAAGTTTCTCAGGCTGCACTCAAATTTGCCGTCCCCTGCCTCAGTCTCCCAGAGTGATGTGATTTTAGGCATATGCTGCCACACTTAGCTTGAACTGGTTTTAGGTAGCATTTTTAAGGCATTAGAAAATGTCTGATAGAGGTGGGAGGCATCATTCTTGCAAGACATAAGGGAAGAAGGGCTGGGGATTTAGCTCAGTGGTGCCGCGCCTGCCTCAAGTGTAAGGATCCAACTTTGATCCCCAAACCAAAAAAAAAAAAAAAAAAAAAAAAGACAAGATAGGATTATACGCCTTAAATACTTTCAGGTACTGAAATCCATCCTGTATCTGCTTTTCCTCCTAGGAAGCCACAACTTCTCCAGGGAGTCTATGCCATGGGCTTCAATCGACCATCCAAGATACAAGAGAACGCATTGCCCATGATGCTCGCTGAACCGTGAGTGCAGACCCAAGCAACTTCTTTCAAAATTGGCTTACTAGTGTTGCCACAAACAATTGTTACTGTTTCTTAGTACAGAATGGGCTATTTGGAGGACATGTTTTAGTAAAGTAGCTTGGCAGCTACAGAGAGAATCATGGATTTGTGTATAGTTCCTATCTTTCCCACTTACCAGTAAAAGCTGATGATGATAGTGCTTTATTTTATGTAATATTTGCCTTTTTTTTTTTTTTTTTTTGGTACGGGGATTGAACTCAGAACCTTGCACTTGTCCTGAGTGGTGTCCAGGTGGTGGCGCCACTGAACTAAGTCTCTGGCCCTTATTTTATGTAATATTAAAAATTGGCTTTGTATAAATTATTTGATGCTAGGCATGGTAGTGTATTCCTGTAATCCCAGCTCTCTCAGGGGCAAGTCTGAGCCCAGCCTGGGCAACAGCTTAGCAAGACCCTGTGTCATAAAAGGACTAGGTTGTTGGAGCACCAATGCTGAGCAGCCTGGTGCCCACTGGACTCCATCCCAGGATCAGTAACTCAGATCCCCTCAGTTGCCCCTGGCCCTCTCTGTTGGACCATGCACCTGAGTGGCTTTGCCTTCCTTGTCAGAACCCTGACCTCTGAATGCCTCAGCCAGCAAACCAGAACTCAGTGGCCCAGACCTCTGATTTTGAGCCCTGATCTCTCATCCCCAGTATATGGCCTGCACCCCAGAGTGAGGCAGGCAGCCTTCCAGCCAGCCCTAACAGTCAAACCCATGGGCTGGTCGCACTTTGAGCCTGTAGCCAGGACTGACTCAGCCTGTCCTGTCTTGTCCTTTGCTGTTTTTTGTTTTGTTTTGGTTTGGTGTTTTTGGTGCTTCAGAGACATCAGAATTAATAATACTTTTGTTGGTTTGTTTGTTTGTTTGTTTTGGGTACTGGGGATCGAACTTGGAACCTTGTGCTTTCAAGGCAGACGGCAGAACCACTGAGCTAAATCCCTGGCCCCTAATAATACTATTTTTGATTTAAAAAATAAAAGGGCTGGGGGCCAGGCCTAGTGACATATCCTTATAATCCCAGCACTTGAGAAGGATCGCCACTATTCAAGGCCAGCCTGGGCCACTTAGTGAGTTCAAGACCAGCCTGAATTACATAGAGAGACCCTGTCTCAAAAAGGGAGGGAGGTAGATGTAGCTTAGTGCAAAGGCCCTAGGTTCAGTCCTGTTACCACCAAAACAAATGGTTTTGACATTTTTGAGCCCTGCCGAAAGGATGTGAAGAACACTATGTTCCAGCGGCACCTCTTACTTACTAACAAGTAAAACCTAAGTCCATGTTCTTCCTTCTCCCTCTCCCACTCTGCCTCCCTCCCCATCTTTCTTCCACCCTCCTCTTTTCCTTTCTTTCCTTACATTTTTCTCCATCTTCCCAGCAAATTGAAAAAACAAAAGCAAAGCATAGGCCCCGTTGACAGTCAGAACCCCATCAACTCTTCCCTCCGCTCCCATCCTCCTCTCTCCTGTGTGGGCTGTCATCCCCTTGGGTTTCTTTGAACTTTTTTTTTTTTTTAATGTCTAAAATGCCACCAAGCCCCATACCCTGGATTGTTGCATGAAGTTGAGTGTGGATTGGTTACTTACATTTCTATAGAGATAGGAAAAGTAAAGGTGCAAAAGGAGCTGGGTTCTGGGGACGCGTGTGACCCAGCAGGAAGTGCTGCTTGGGTGGTAGTGGTGCTGCTTTTACTCTGTACTCTGCACTCCTGATTTCCCAGGAGCCCTTGGGCACAAAACTAGGGTGCCGTGCTAAGAGTCCAGAAGGAGGATTGTTGTGTGTGAACCCATGTACAACAGTCTTTTCTTTTCTTTTTGGGGGGTACCAGGGATCAAACTCGGGTGCTTGTGTTTGTGAGGCAGGCGGTGGAACCATTGAGCTAAACCCCTGGCTCAGTCTTTATTTCTTTCGTATTAAAGCTTTTTAAAATGACATGTGAAAAGTTTTCTTGTAATTTGCGCTCAGTGCCAAAAGAGGATAATACAGAGAAACATAAAGAAGGAAAATGTCCCTTCCCCCAGAGTGAACATTTTCAGGCTTTATTGCTTTGCCAGTATTTCTTTCCTTCCTTCCAGCCCACAGAACCTGATCGCCCAGTCTCAGTCCGGCACTGGAAAAACAGCTGCCTTCGTCCTGGCCATGCTCAGCCGAGTGGAACCAGCAGACAGACACCCTCAGGTGGGTAATGTGGGGACCTGCTTGCCTGCCTGGTAGGGGAGCTCTGACTGCTGCTCTTACACCGAACCTCAGAGCGGCCGTGCGCCCATCCTGCCAGGCAAAGCTCGTGTGGAAGCGGCAGCCCTGAGCAAGGCAGGGAGCGCCCGGAAGGTCAGCCTGGTTAGGGAAGATGTAGTTCGGGTTCCCTGCACTGGTCAAGCCTAATCCATTCATCTTTTCTGATTTCTCCATCAGTGTCTGTGCCTCTCCCCAACGTACGAGCTGGCGCTTCAGACAGGAAAAGTGATTGAGCAGATGGGCAAATTTTATCCAGAGCTCAAGCTCGCTTATGCTGTCCGAGGCAATAAATGTGAGTCCAAGGGGTGCGATCTAAGTGGGATGGGGGTGCTGGGTGTTGAGTTTGAGGATGTGACGATGTGTTCCGCTTTTTAGTTCATTCTGACCCTCCAGCCCTGTTGCACTGCTCTCAGTGAATCTATTTAAGTACAGACATTCCTCGTTTAATGGCCGAGTTCCACTCCTGCAACTTGGTTGTTAAATAAGAAATTGTATATAGTATGTACATTATAATATTTAGAATAAAGAAATGGTCAGAGGAAACTTCAAGTTGACGACTTTACTCTTATTTGCATAGCTCTTCATGCAGTACTGTAATATATAACAACAACATTACAGTACTGTACAGTACAGCAAAAATACAGTACTGTATAAACAAGGTGTACTCAACTAAAAAAACACTGAGGCTCTATAAACAAGATTACAGAACTGTACGAAAAAAAGACAAGTCATAAATCTGAGTGGCGTGCCTGGTCATAAGTCCAAATAGTTGTTAAACGAGGAATATCTGTACTTGCTGATTTGTTTATAGTTCTTTCCAGTAGCCCCCAATCCTGGGAATCAAACCCACCTTACCCATATGCCAAGCAGACACTGCTGCTGAGCTGCTCCGTAGCCCCTGTCTCCTCTTCATTTGTTCAACAACAAAAAACTCTGCAGTGCTCCTGGAGTTTGTTTCCTGTATTGGATATTGAACCCAAGGGTTTCACACTGAGCTACATCCCACCTCCCCCGCTTTTTTTTTTTAGACAAGTTCCTTACTAGGTTATACAGGTTAGGCTTGAACTAGTGATCCTCCATTAGCCTCCTATAGTGCTAGAATTACAAATCTGTATCACCATGCCTGGCCCCTGAAATTCTTAAAATCTGGAGTTCTTCACTGAGGAGATAGGGTTTTGAGTTCTGGAACCTGCTTAGATTAGCGAGACCAGGGGTGGAAGGTTGGAATCAGATTCCTTTAGCAGTAAGGACCAGTAAAGAAAATACTGGGAGATTGTATAGTTCACTGGCTCTTATCAAAATCAAAAACCCCTCCAATTCTTTCTTCCATGTGGTGTGCAGAATGTCATGTAGAAAGTATGGGTTAAAATAAAGGGGGAAGAAGTGTAAAGATTCATTAGAAGGTTATCAGTATGTAAAAAATTTTCTGTACATCAATAAGGAAAAGGAAGCAGTCTCCTAGGAAAAAACAAAAGAGGCCCAGTCGAACCAGCTATTCGGAGAAGGAATTCAGATGGCCACTGTAATAACTTGTAAAGATGCTGAGCCTCACTGGACCATGAGGAACTAGAGAAGTGGAAACCCAGGCCCCTCTCTGCTGGGCGGAAGCTGGTGTCTGAAGCTGTCTAGTTCTGGTGAAGACAGGAACTGTATTGTGTGCTCCTGGAGGGTGGGGGTGGGGGTGCTCACACATTGGCAACAGTTGGGTGCTGCCCAGAGGAACCCAAGAAGGGTACAGCCCTGATGTGCCAAAGTGCAGCTCTCACTTTAGAGCCTTAGCATTCTCTCACTCATGGCATTTTTGTTGTGCAGGTTGTGTCTATTACTGTTAGAGTAGATGCTGAAACAACCTGAAAACTGTACAAGTATTTAGTAGTTTAAAAATAGTGTAGCTCAACTCTGGAGAAATCCCTAAGCAATGCTATTCCTTAGATGCCATTAATAGTGTATGTAGCCAGGCGTGGTGGTGCATGCCTGTAATCCCAGCACTTGGGAGGCTGAGGCAGGAGGATCTCTGTGAGTTCGAAACCACCCTGGGCTACATAGTGAATTCCAGGTCAGTCTCAACTACATAGACCTTGTCTCAACCACCCCCCACAAAATATGTGTAGCTCAGTGGTATAATCTTTGCCTAGTATGTGTCACTCCTGTTAATATAAATAACAGTCGGGCATGGTGGCATGGGCATATAATCCCAGTACTCAAGAGGCTGAGACAGGAGGATTACAGCAAGTTCAAACCTGACCTGCATAGACTTTTTTTTTGGTACTGGTGATTGAACTGTGGACCTTGCACTTGTGGGGCAGGTGGCAGAACCACTAAGCTAAATCCCTGACCCCTACATAGACAGTTCAAGGCCAGCCTGAACTACGTAGTGCGACCCTGTCTCAAAAACAAATGAAAAGTAATTGAGCTCAGTGGCACCATGCCTGCCTCAAAAGGGCAAGGTCCTGAGTTTGATCCCCAGTACCAAAAAAAAAAAAAAAATCTGTAGAATGCTATACCCAGACTGAACAAATGATAATTAAGGTAGTTGCTCATACATGGTGGTGCACACCTATAACCCCAGCACTGGGGAGGCTGAGGCTGGGGGATTGGCGTGAGTTTGAGGCCAATCTGGGCTATAGAGTAAGTTCAAGGCTATCGTGGACTTCATGGTGAGACATTCTTTAAACAAACAGACAAGCAAAACTCATTTGCAGGTATTAATATCACAACCAGATTCACCAGGGAAGCTTACAGACATGGTACAAACCCCAATTCATGGGGAAACTCTCCTGAAGTCTTACAAAATTCAGATTTTTCCCTTGGAAATGCAAGTGTTATGACAATAAATGCAGTTGACTTTTTTGCATTGAAGAGACAGCTTTTTTCTCTTCCCATCCCCAAGCTTTCTTTGATCATTTTCAAAAAAGCATATGTCAGATTTGCAACTTGAATATCTGTAATTTGCCTATCAGTTTACACACAAGATGGGTAGTTCAGCTGGGTGTATTCCTGTAATTCCAGAACTCGGGAGGCTTAGGCAGGAAGATTGCTGTGAGTTTGAGGCCATCCTGGGCTACATAAAGAGTTCAGGGCCAGTCTAGGGGCTGACAATTTAGCTCAGTGGTTCTGCTGCCTGCCTCACAAGCGTAAGGTCCAAAGTTCGATCCCTAGTATCAAAAGCAAAAAAATAAATCAAGGCCAGCCTAAACCACATATTGAGACACTGCCTCAAACCCCCCCCCCCGCAAATCGGTACTTTATTTCACCATATAAATAATAGAAATGGGCTTATCCTGAAGAAAGTCACTGGATTTTGGCAAAAGTAGCAAAAGCACTTTATCCAGTAATTATGAGATTGGGTGTTCTCAAACTAGCAGGCCCCGCTCACTTGACGTGTACAGAAGCACATGCCTGCCCTGGAGTGTTTTCTCCCATGGATGGTCGTCACTGTGTGCAAGGGGCTACCATAGCCACTGTATTTAACTGGGCATTTGTGAAGGGCCAGAGATTTAGCTCAGTGGTGCTGCCACCTGCCCCGCAAGCACAAGGTCCCGAGTTTGATCCCTGGTACCAAAAAATCCAACATGGCACTTGTGAGACATTCGGTTTTACTGACAGGCTGTGAACATTGGGAAACTGCCTTTTTGTTGTTATTGTTGAACTGGGGTTGGTACCAGGAGTACTCTGCCATTCTGTTAACTAACATATGTGTGTATGTGTACACGTGTGTATGTGTACCCGTGTGTATGCCATTTATATAGAATGTGGTATATATATATATATTTTTTGAGATAATCTCATAGCACTTCCTAAACATATTTTCAGACTTTATTGGTGTCATCCATTGCATGCATCATATTTTACTAATCAGATACGTGTTGTGCGCATAGTTTGTGTACATTGCAATATTTCTAATAGTGAAAGTCTTGGTCAAAGGTTATGTGCGTTAGTAATTTTGATAAACAGTTGTATCGATTTCAAATTAAAATGGCTTGAGAGATTGAGAGTAATGTAGTGTGTAAATCACACTTGTAAATGCTACTATTACTATGAGTTTCCCCATGTATATAAATATCTCTGATAAGTTGATGGTAATACTAATACTTGATTTTTAAAATTTTTTATTTTTATTAGTATATGTTGGCAGAATATGACAACATTCATCAAGGGAGTTGGTACATATACGTAACAGATTTTTTACTTCCTTTTCCCCTACCTCTTTTTTTCTTTTTCTTTTCTCTTTTTGAGGTGTGGTCTCACCACATAGCCCAGCAAACTGGTTGAAACAAGTTTAAGACTACTGTAGTATTTTTTAAATCAAAGAGTTTGTATTTCTGAAAACTAGCTTTCCAAGTGGAATCACTAGAGACCAGAGCTCAAAATCACTGTGCCAAGATCCTGGGGGAAAGACCTGTGTGATGTGAAGTTATAGGAGAAAGTAGAAGGGAAGTGACAGTTGCTGAGGGTCCTCTGTGTAGAACTTGATGCTGAGCACAGGTCACTGAGACAGGTGTCACTCTACCCTCATCACAGTAGAAGAAAGCAGGGAGGGCTTAAGGGTAGAACTTTCATATTTTGAAATCTAGAATTAGTCTGTTCTGCTAGTCCCAGAAGTACAGGCACAGCTTTGATTTGATGTTCCAGCTTTGAATTTTTTGATTTTTGAGCTGGCTCTGCCTTGGACACACCCCCAGCAAACATCTCATCTCCACAGTGGAAAGAGGTCAGAAGATCAGTGAGCAGATTGTCATCGGCACTCCCGGGACCGTCCTGGACTGGTGTTCCAAGCTCAAGTTCATTGACCCCAAGAAGATCAAGGTGTTTGTGCTGGATGAAGCCGACGTGATGATAGCTACTCAGGGCCACCAGGATCAGAGCATCCGCATCCAGAGGTAGGAGCTCAGGCCAGGAGGAGCTGCCAGGGCCTCCTCTTGCTTCTGTGGGGTTCTTTTCTTGGTCTGAACAACAGCATTGGCCTGTGGGTCATTTCCACATCGGCACTGACCGCACTCCCAGCCTGGCCTGTGGCAGGAGACCTGGGAGCCTGTGCCACCCCTGTGCCTCCTACCCTTCCCCAGAGTCTGTGGCCCCATGGCAACCTGCTGTGGTTAGAGCCCGTCTGATCTGGGGAGGCCATGCTTCTGATCCTTCTGCTGACACCTGGGCCTTACAGGAAGCTCCCCAGGAACTGCCAGATGCTGCTTTTCTCTGCTACCTTTGAAGACTCTGTGTGGCAGTTTGCCCAGAAAGTGGTCCCAGACCCCAACATCATCAAACTGAAGCGCGAGGAGGAGACCCTGGATACCATCAAGCAGTATTATGTCCTGTGCAGCAACAGAGACGAGAAGTTCCAGGCTCTGTGCAATCTCTATGGGGCCATCACCATCGCTCAAGCCATGATTTTCTGCCATGTGAGTAGCAGCAGGGCCTGTGAGGGCTGCCTCAGCCCCACCCCCTGCTTTGGACCAGAATTCCACTGTGTGAAAATGAGAATCACGCCCCCCAATCATCTCAGGATCTTGAGTTTTAAGGGGAGGACTTTGTGATGAGCCAAGCCTTGTATGATCCAACTTCTTAGAAATTGCTTGGGAATAAAACCCCTAAATAACATCCAGTGGAATAATTTTTAAACATTACGGATGTGGACTGTTGAGAAACGCAGCTCTTTGGCTCAGCGCACAATCTTCCTAGAGGAAAAGTAAGAGGAGTTAATTCATCCAAACAAAGCTTGGCTAAAATTTGATGCTGACTGCTCACTGAATTAATGAAGGGCTTGTGTTTTAACCGTGACAAGCCATGTTTCGGTGGGGATCTTGGCTTGGCTTTGGTATAGGTCTTCATGTAAAATAACTCTCTTGGCTTCCTTCAGACCCGCAAAACAGCTAGTTGGCTGGCAGCAGAGCTGTCGAAAGAAGGCCACCAGGTGGCCCTGCTGAGTGGCGAGATGATGGTGGAACAGAGGGCTGCGGTGATCGAGCGCTTCCGAGAGGGCAAAGAGAAGGTTCTGGTGACCACCAACGTGTGTGCCCGAGGTGAGCAGAGGTGACCCTGCTCTGCCTGCTCGGGGTCCGGGCTCCAGCTGTGAGAGGAATCTTCATATCCAGGACACTGGGCTGCTCTCAGTGGGGTTGGCGGTGTGACTTTCCCGTCCAGGAGAGCCCGGATCCCCCTCCAGTGTAAGGGACGCCAGGGGCCCGCCCTGGTGGGAGGCGGTGCTCAGGCAGAAAGGCCCTGCTACCCCCGGGCAGCATCTTGGGCTCCCCTGTCTGCAGAGAGGCTTTCTGGTTTCCCTGGCTTGTTGCACCTGCCGGAGTGTGCTCTCTTCCTCCATCCAGCTCTGCCGCAGGCCTGTGTGTGCCATTCTGTGCCCACAACCCAGAGGTCCCAGCCTCCTCTTCCAGACTGGGGGTGTGTGGCTGACTGTGGGTGCCCGGGACATCATCTCCCGCCCTGACTCCCTTCCGCATCCCACCCTTTCTGCAGGAATCGATGTTGAGCAAGTGTCTGTGGTCATCAACTTTGATCTCCCCGTGGACAAGGACGGGAACCCGGACAACGAGACCTACCTGCACCGGATCGGGCGCACCGGCCGCTTTGGCAAGAGGGGCCTGGCCGTGAACATGGTGGACAGCAAGCATAGCATGAACATCCTCAACAGGATCCAGGAGCATTTTAGTGAGTCCCTGGGCACCTCTGCCCGCTGCCCTTTCCACAGGGACAGGTGGCAAAGGGAGGGTTTTCCTGCGGCCCTGAGAGGGACCACTGTCCCTGTGCCTGCTCCTTTCCCCTCGTTCCCCACCCTCCTGACTTCCTGGGGAGCACATGTGGGGCCTTCACCCCGTGGCCTGGCTGGGGCGCCTGAGACTCTCGAGTATCAGTGCTAGTGACCGCGGGTGGATGGACACGCGTGCTCTGGAAGCCTCTGTGGTTAGGTGAAGGATCCCTGTGACCCAGGGAGTGGATTTCGGAGGCTAAGTGGCGTCTGTCTCCCGCCTCCCTGCCGCTGTCCCCTTCTGGGTGACTTGAGCTGCATCTTCACGGCAACCCCGTGCCGGTCTCTTTCCCCCAGATAAGAAGATAGAAAGATTGGACACGGATGATTTGGATGAGATTGAGAAAATAGCCAACTGAGAAGCTCCCCAGTCACTGGTGCCGCCCTCGTCACCGCCCTTCGCGGAGTTCTGTGCTGCGTTGCCCCAGCCTCGACGGTTACCACA